AGAAATCCATTGCTGTTATTTCACATGGGAAACAGGTTTACTTTGTAGATTTCCTAGTTGAAATGAATCATGTAAAATCTTATTTTAAAATAGCAATCATTTTTCTCATGAAACAGAGAAGTTGGTAAAAGAAAGAAGAAAAGGTATCTATGTTACTAGATACTTTAATGTGTTTTGAGCATATCTGCTTGAAAAATAAGCATGAAATAACTGCTTACATTGAGGTTCACTTTATGCCAGAAATGGCCAATGTTTTTTCATTAAAAATAATACCTGACTGATGTGATATTTTGGTCTTTTTTTCAAATTGTATATATTTAAGGTGTACAACATGGTATTTTGGTACACATATACACGGTAATGTGATTAATCTTGACAGTCAAGATATGTCAAATTAACATATTTGTCATCTCATGTAGTGATGTAAGATTTTTCAATAGGTTTCTTCTGTAAGCACCAAAGTGATAGGGGCATGGAAAAAAATGTAATTCAGTGAAAATATGGCAATCTAAATGGAAAGGAATTTTTTTTCATGGTTTAACCCTATGCCATATTGGAAAGAATCAAGTGGAATGACGAAATATACATTTGGGACTGGGAATACTGAGAATTATCTACATACCTGTATCATCCAGACCAGGAGGGGGCATTTGCTTTTGGTTAGGGGAGAAGGGATTTTGTGAGAGTCATGTCTTAAATTATAGAGTTGTAGGATATTTTCAAACTCTTAATTCACACCGACAAATACCTCAGTTGGCTTTCTCATTATGCCTATTACCTGCTTTTCACTTCACAAAAGATAAAGATTCATTAACAAGTAATCAAAACAGGGAGAAACTTAACTGAATGTCAGAGGCAGATGAATAACATGAAGCTGCTTTGCCATCACACGTTCTGACCATTTGGAAAAGCAGTGAATTAAGATGACTTACCAACAAGGCACTTCATCTGTAAAGGGTCTGAAAACTGAAAGGTTTCCTACATACCTGCATGTCTCTCTCCAAACGTAGCAGGTGGTACCTGTGCCATGTGAGAAAAGCTGGTCCCTCATGAGAGAAATCCACTTCAAAGCTTTCCTGCCCTGCCCCAAGGAAAGTCTTTTTGACTGAGTAGTAGTGTGTCCAAACAAAGTAGTTATAAATGGAAATGTTCTCAAATTGTGGCGTGTTGCCATCTGGCCCCAATATTTCTTCTGATCTCCTGGTGGCAATGACAAATAAAGGGTGAGTTGTGTGCTTTGCCATATCCAGGGCCTGGACAAAGTGGTTCTTTTCTTCTTTACTTAAGTCCAGAAGATTTCTCCTGACTTTAGGGATACAAAAAATTCAAACATGAAAACATCTGCTTTGTGGGGACGGGTAGAAAAGAAGAATATTCTTCTTGTAGTAGCCCACGACCTCTTTACCCATTCATGGTTCTATGTCCATATATTCAAATCTGCTTTAAATTATTTTGTTCTTTTAAAAATACCCCTAACTAAAATCCCTTCTTCCGGTCTGCTTTCTTTCTCTTTCTTTCCCTCCCTCTGTCTTTTTCTCTCTCCGGTTGACTCTAGGATTTCTATTAGTTTTCTTTAATCTTACTTATGGATTTTATGATTCTGTGATTCTTGTCACATTAATTTTT